AAAAAAAAAAAAAGAAAGAAAGATGGAAGGAGGTAGGCCAGCTCGAGCCTCAAGCTGGCAGGGCTGAGAGGCTGGGCTTTAGGATGCACCATCCACATGCCATGGCTCTGTGGAGAGCAAGACAAGGAAATTGTAAGCCCAGAATGAATCTTGTGCCTGAAACATCTGCCCCTGTGCGTGCGCTCCCTCCTCTGAAACCTCTGGGTGTGAACTGTCAGTGAACTCGAGGCAGTGCACGTAACAGCTGCTGCAGTTTTCTATACTTACTCTGAACCTACTGTAGACTACCTGTTTATATCCTGTTTGGTTTAATTAAAATAGTAAATGAGTAGATGATTCCTAGTTATCTCAAACATTCCTGGAAACATCTATTATGATGTTGGTCTAGTTAACTCCAGCTCCTTGGAATCCCAGTAAATAATCGCACAACTACAGGGAATTGTTGGAGAGGGAGAGGCTTGTTGGTTAAATACGTAAATGATGAGAAAACTGGTCAAAAGATAATTTTTAGGATGTGTCCTGGGATTAAGATCAATTTATTTGAATTTCTTATAGTCTGACATGCCATCTGCAGTTAGCTAATGTTCATTGGGAAGCAGGTGAATATCCTATTTTCCAAGAATTCTAGAAGGTTGGTTAAGAGTTTTTAGTTTAGTTTTTTTTCCCCCCAAATAGTTTATTTTTCTTCTTCTTCCTCCTCCTCCTCCTCCCTCCTTCTCCTCCTCTTTCTTCCTTCCTCTTACTCCCTCCTCTTCCCTCCTCCCTCCTCCCTCTTCCCTCTTCCCTCCTTCCTCTTTCCTCCTCCCTCCTTCTTATTCCTCCTTCTCTTCCTCCTCATCTTCTTTATCTTCGTCTTCCTGGTCAACTTTAGCAGGACCCTTTGTGCCATCAAACTTTCCTTTCAATTTATAGTCAGCAACATCCTTCTCATCCTTTTCCTTCAGCTTTGCCAGCTTAGTGATGTAAGGCTGCTTTTCACTGTCATTTAACTTGTTCCACATCTCACCCAGCTTTTTTGCTCTACCTCCAATAGAGATGCCAGGGTTTGTGGATTTGATCTTGGGGAATTCTGAACAGAGGAGGAAGAATCTAGACAGTAGCCTTTTGGGGGCATTAGGATCCTCCTTCTTGCCTTCCTTAGCTGGCCCATAATCCTTCATTTCCCAATGATAGCATACTTTATCCACCTTTACCATTTCATCAAATTTAGACTTCTCTTTCCCAGACATCGTCTTCCACCTCTCAGAGCACTTCTTGGAAAATTCTGCAAGATTGACAGAGACCTCTGGGTTTTTCTTCTGATGTTCTTCTCTGCACATCTGCACAAAGAAGCCATAAGCAGACATCTTGCCCTGTGGTTTCTTGGGGTCACCTTTAGTCATCCTGACTGTATTGTTCGATAGTCTGGGCAGTGCCTGTTTCTTAATAAGACATGTTTCCTGCTTTCTTTTCTTTTTTT